ATCGGTCTGAGAGAAACACTTGCCTCTTGCACAAGCTCCGACCAGGGCCCAGGCTGGGGAGGAGCCTGCAACTGAGATGCGTACTCTTGACTGGAATCAGCCTGACCCTTTGGTCCACAGGCCAACGCTCTTTCCACTGAGCTGAATCAGCTAGGGCTGTTCCATTCCTCTCTCTCCTCAAGCACCTCCAGTCTCTCCCTGTAGCCTTATGCTCAGCTGATGACCTTGCCTCCTTCTTCCCTGAGAAAGAGAAGTAGCAAACACCGACTTGCACTATATATTCCAGCTCCTCTCCTGCGATTGTGCTCCTATCCAAGGACAACCTCTCCATGTGGGCCCTGGACTCCACTTTCTGTCTGGTCTAAGCTTCCTGTCTCCTCCATCATGTTTCTTTTTCTCTTAATTTCCCCATCCTCAAGCAAATATGCTGATATATCTACCATTTTATAAAAGTCCCTTCATTTAAAACATACATCTTTATTAATTTCAGAGAGGGAGAGATAGAAACATCAATGAGAGAGTCACTGATGGGCTGCCTCCTGCACGCTCCCTACTAGGGGGATGAGCTGGCAACCTGGTCATGTGCCCTTGACTGGACTGGAGCCCAGGACGCCTGCGTGTTATTTTTGTTTAAAAACATGTTAAAGACATCACCCCACTCTCTTTTGAACCCACTCTGATCAGGCTTTTGCCTCCACCACTCCACTGAAACCTCTCTTCAAGGTTGCTAATAACTCCATGGTGCTCTTAAAGCCAGTAGTCTTTTTTTCTTTTTCTTTTCCTTTTTAGTATATTTTATTGATTTTATTTTTAAATGTTTTATTGATTTTTTTTAACAGAGAGGAAGGGAGAGGGATAGAGAGCCAGAAACATCGATGAGAGGAATATCAATCAGCTGCCTCTTGGGGATGTGTCCACAACCAGGGTACATGCCCTTGACTGGAATCTAACCTGGGACCTTTCAGTCCAAGGCTGACGCTCTATCCACTGAGCCAAACCAGTTAGGGCACCAGTAGTCATTTTTCATTCCTTTCCTTGTTTGACATGTCAGCCTTGGCACAGTTATCATCTGCTCCTCCTGGAATTCTAGGACACCCACGATACTATTAAAATTCCCAAGCCCACCTCAAACACTTTGAATCATGCTATTTGGAGGCGTGGCTTAACACTCAATTTTACTCAGATGGTAGAAGTGGTTCCTATTCTCTAAAGGAAATTATTTCATTAATCCCTGACTTTTCCTTAGGCCAGTGGTCGGCAAACTCATTAGTCAACAGACCCAAATATCAACAGTACGACGACTGAAATTTCTTTTGAGAGCCAAATTTTTTAAAACTTCTAATGCCACTTCTTCAAAACACTAGCCCAGGCCGTGGTATTTTGTGGAAGAAGAGCCACACTCAAGGGGCCAAAGAGCCGCATGTGGCTCAAGAGCCACAGTTTGCAGATGACGGCCTTAGGCTGAGCATATTTATCCACAAATGCTGAGCACCTGCTGGTTCAGGCACTATAACTGACCATCTAGACACTGTTCCTGCCTTCATGCGTTTACAGCTCAGGAAACATTTCCCAGGGACATTGGTGAGGATTTTGGGTGGTATCAATTTTTTGTGTGATAAAAATCATTTTGGTTTAGGGGAGGTGAGGTAGGTGGAAGGCATAGAGGGAGATAAATGGTGATGCAGGGAAAAGGGTATCTGTAATAGTCAACAATGAAAAAAATTTTATGAAAAATAAACCATCTTGGTTTATATAGGTGCTTAAGCATAAATATTGGTTTAGTAATAAAATTTATATTAAAAACTAGAGGCTCAGTACATGATATTCATGCAGGGGGGTGTCCCCCAGTCCAGCCTGCACCCTCTCCAATCTGGGATTCCTCACAATCCAGTACTGCTGGCTATCAACTGCTCGCCTGCCTGCCTGCCCCTAACCACTTCTTCCTGCCAGCCTGATCACCGCCTAACCACTGCCCTGTCAGCCTGATTGATGTCTAACTGCTCCCCTGCCAGCCTGTTTGCCCCCAACTTCCCTCCTCTGCGGCCTGGTCACTCCTAACTGCCCTCCCCTGCAGGCTTGATTGCCCCCAACTGCCCTCCCTTGCAGGCCTGGTCCCTCCTAAATGCCCTCCCCTGCTGGCCATCTTGTGTCCACATGGGGGCAGCTATCTTGATCTTGTGTATTGGAGTGATGGTCTGCCTATTACTCTTTTATTAGATAGGATAGAGGCCTGGTGCATGGGTGGGAGCCAGCTGGTTTGCCCTGAAGGATGTCCCTGGCGACCCAAGCAGAGGCCCTGATATCTAGGATATATTTATCTTCTACAATTGAAAGGTTGCTTGGGTGGTAGTAGCTATTTGTGTTGTGGTTTATTCACCTTCTATCGTATAATTGAAACTTTATAGCCTGGAGTAGAGGACTAGGCTGGCCAGTGCAGGTGGAAAGCTTGGCTTCCTCTGTAGCTGGGGGCAACCCTCTCCTGCTCTCTTCAGCTCCAGGGCTGACACCATTTTTCTTGGCATTTGTCTTCTACCATTTTTCCTTTGTGTCCTTCAGTGGAGGCCTGGGCCAGCCAGGGTGTGTGGAAAGCTTGGCTTCCTCCATTGCTGGGGAAACCCAAGCCACCTTCCTGTTCTGTGGCGGCAGCCATCTTGGTTGGGCTTATTTGCATATTTGATCCTGATTGGCCAGTGGCATGACTTATAGGTATAGCAGAGTGATGGTTAATTTGTTATGTAGTTTAATTTTGGTGCCCTAGCCAGTTTGGTGCAGCAGACAGAACCTCAGCCTGAGTGAAGGGTTAAGGGCACATGCCCAGATTGCTATCATGTGCAGAAGGCAACCAGAGTCACTCTCACCATTGATGTTATTTCTAAAATCAGTAAAAATATATTGAAAAACCATTTTGGTTGAAACTGGTTGGGCTCAGTGGATAGAGCATCAGCCTGCGGACTGAAAGATCCCAGGTTCCATTCCGGTCAAGGGCGTGTACCTTGGTTGCGGGCACATCCCCAGTAGGGGATGTGCAAGAGACAGCTGATCAGTGATTCTCTCTCATTGATGTTTCTAACCCTCTATCCCTCTCTGTAAAAAAATCAATAAAATATATTTTAAAAAACAAACCAATTTTCTGAACATAAACTGTGCACCTATGGATAAGAACAATGGGGGTGGGGAAAGGGCAGAGTGGGTGGGAACTTGGTGGAGGGGGGGGGAAATGAGTAACTTTTATAATAATATGAATAAAGATTCATTAAAAAAAAAAACAAACCCATTTTGGTGACAAACTTTTTTAAAATGTAAAAGCTGTTTTGGTTAAAAAAAATATTTTTTTAAAAATTGATTTCAGAGAGGGAGAAACATTACTCAGCTGCCCTCTGCCTGTCCCACACTGGGGATTGAGCCTGCAACCAAGGCATGCGTCCTGACTGGGAATTATTGATCTCCTGGTTCATAGGTGGACACACAAGCACTGTGCCACACCAGCTGGAAGGAAAGCCCTTTTGTGCAAGTTATGTTTGGTACTCCAAAAATCAATTAGCTTAAAAAACTTGCTAAACTAAGCAGTATTAGGCTCCTCAATGTATGATTTCTAAAGACAGGATCTTAACTTTGCATTTATCAATCCTTAGAACTCCAGTTAATACCTACTTTGAGAAAAAAGATAAGCAGTGAGCACAAGTAATTTAAAAAAAATCTTGGAGCAACTATGGCCCAGATTTATACTTGAACCTGGTTTTACTGAACAAGCTGGGCTCTGGGACTCCCAGGGTAAGCACTTTAATCTTGGAACTCTCACTTTCTTCTATCCAATGTTTGCACCTGGTGTAAAGGGGACAGATACGTCTCATGAGCCTCTTCAAAGGACACTCTTAAATGTTCTGACAAAATTCAGGATTTGCCACAGCTGTTCCAGCACATGCTTTAGATTTCTAATGATTAGAAGTAAATCATGCAGCAGCTGCCATCTGACTTTTTTGCTATCACTTTCATTCGTTCATATATATATATATATATATATATGTGTGTGTGTGTGTGTATGTATGTATGTATGTATGTAATTGGGTATTTATATATATATATATATATATATATATATATATATATATATATATATCTCCCCAATAACTTTATAACAAATCTCTCCCCCACCAGGGGTAGGCACACTTCAGTCTGTCTTTCTGATTTGCTCATTACTCAACATTTCCTTATCCTCCTGGCTCCTTCCCATTTAAAAAGCACTGACTAGCCAGGTTAAGTTAATGGAATACTTACAGATGCTTCAATCCCCTTTCCCCACAACAGCTATGCAAACTGGGGAGGCTGAGGATCCAAATACAAAAGAGCCGCGCGTTAAGGTACAGGAATAACCTTCACCTTCATGGAAGACTCTGCGGCATTCCACACTTGGTCAAAGCAATTATAACCTATATGACATACACAATCCCCATTCTTTCTTTCTGGCAAGAACCACACTCCAACGCGCTACATGAAATACAGCTTCCATTTATTTTCCCCAGAGAACTTTTCTTCGCTCTTTAAAGACTTAGCTCCTTACATGGGCTTTGGTGGAGGTCGTGGGGCAGCACCCTGCAAGATAAAGGAATGAAAGAGTAATTAAAGACTCTCCCCTCAAAGAACCTGACCGCTACTCTCCCACCACTAACAACGTACTCGGGCCATAAACGCATGGAAAACTCATTGATGTGAAGGCAGACCCCATTCCTCACTGGAAAAATCAACTCACTTCTAAGTGACTAAGTAAATGTTTTAGGCGTGGGTCCCACCGACCTGATCAGACTTAGATGACCTCCCCACAGGCAGACTTTAATCCGATAACCCTGGGTTTGTACACCACCGTCTGGCCTCCACATCTCCTTTCCGGCACTTACCGCAGGCCTGAATCGGGGTGGGGGTGTTCGGTCCTTCCGGGCTTCTCGAGACCGATTCCGGACTACCTTGCTGTGAATGGCGCAGCTCACACAGTAGTGCAGCTTCACATACAGCTTGGGAAGCACATAGGCTAAGATGGAAAAGGAACAGAATATTAAGTGTCAGCATACCTACATTTCACTCCCAAGTTCAATTTCTGATGCCTAACTAAACACATGCAATTTCAGTCGAGGAACACTCTAATTCATCCTATCACCAAGGGGACCAATCCCACATCCTAGAAAAGCCAAACATTCAATTCCTTCAGCAGTTGCACCAGCCCCAACATCTACTCCTGGCTGATCAATGATTCTCATTATTAATCTTTCTCCCTCTCTGAAATCAATTAAAAAAGGTTTTCTTAACCAACCTTTTACATTTTAAAAAAGTTTATCACCAAAATGATTTTTCAATGTTTTTATTGACTTCAGAAAGAGAAACATCAATGAGAGGGAATCATTGGTTGCCTCCTGCACGTGATGGCAAAATGGGCATGTGTCCTTGACTGGAATCAAATCTGGGACCCTTCACTCCTCAGGCTGACGCTCTATCCATTGCACCAATACAGCCAGAGGGGTTGTTACCTAAATTTTAGGCCATAAAAAAGCCAATTTGGTCCTGTCCACTTTGACTCAATGGATAGTGTCAGCCAGAGGACTGAAGGTCCCGGATTCTGGCCAAGGGGATGTACCTCAGTTGCAGCCTAGATCCCCAGCCCTGGACTGGGAGGGAGGCAACCAATGGATGAGTCTCTCTCACATTAATATTCCCTTTCAGTCTCTCCCCCTCCTTTCCACTCTAAAAACTTATGGAGAACCCGGCCGGCTTGGCTCAGTGGTTGAGTGTTGACCTATGAACTAGGAGGCCACAGCTGATTCCTGGTCGGGGCACCTACCCGGGTTGTGGCTCCATCCCCAGTGTGGGGCATGAAGGAGGCAGCCAATCAACGATTCTCTCTCATCACTGATGTTTCTCTCTCTCCCTCTCCCTTCCTTTCTGAAATCAATAAGAATAATGTCTTCAGGAGAGGATTAACAAGAAAAAGCCAATTTGTCTTAAAAGAAAAAGACATCATATTGTCCCGTAAGCACCTGTCGAACAATCTAGACAGCTTCCTACTTAAGACATTCTTCCAGACTTAGTCTGCACATTTCCACCACAGGTACTCCGATAAAACTATTTCAAAAGGAATGTTAAGTATGTTTGTAGTTATTGCTCCCCAAATATTGCCACAGAACAAGTTCTGTAAGTGCGTTTGGAATCCCATTCCCTTTTTTTTAAAAAAATAGTCCCCGTTAGCTTCTACGGGCAACAACCTTCAAGGTGCACAAACTGCACGGATGCCCCCAGGCACTCGGCCTGCGGGGGGCGGGGCAGGTGTCGGGGAGCCCGCAGATCACACCGGGGCTCACTCACTCACCGTCGAAGACACTGGCTTCGGAGATGTCCCTGACGGCCGCGGCCTCCACTATGTTTCGAATGACAAACTTCTTAATGGCCTTGTCCTTGGGCACGCACCGGGCGCAGTTGGTGCAACGAATAGGCTGCACATGGCCTCGGCCTTTTTTGGCACGACCGTTATTCCTTCTTTTCTTGGTCTGCATGAGGATGAAGATCTTGTTGGGGAGGAGGCGCAACCTGCCCAGCCTTAGCCCCTACCGGCTACATCCCGCACCAGCGGCCCAAGAAAGACGCCAGTCAGATCTCCAGTTTCCCCGCAAACCTCTCCAAGCTAGGGATAAACATGCGAGCTCCGTCCGCTCCTCCTGGAGCCCGGCTCCCAAATCCCCCGCCACCGGGATCTGCTCCTCTCACCCTCACCCAGACCGCGCGCTCCCCACGCGCCCGCACTCACCATCTTGGAAACGAGGACCCGAGAGAGGATCCGGCGCCGGGCCCGCCTCCCTTATATAGCGCGAGATCCCTACACGCACACCGGAAGAATCCTTAGTTGACGAACGCCAAAGACCGCAGGCCACCTTACTCAAATTTTCTTTATTATTCAGCGTTTTTGCTGAAATCTAAGGCAGAGAGGCATTTCTCGAGTTTATTTATCAGCGGCACAAGGTGACCAAGGGACTATTTTTCCTGGTGGCGGGAGAAAATTACAGTTATAAGTCTCCCAGCAGGCACTGCGACGCCCTACCCCGGAAGTAATTTTGGGCGGCACACTTAATCTGGTTTTGCGACGCTAAACGCGGAAGTTGCCCGGCGCAAGATCACAAATCGCGCCAGGTGGGAAGGGGTGCATGGTGGGAGTTGTAGTGCGAAGCTGACAGGTCCTTGGCCCCAAGCACTTAGACCCCGGACGGCTCTACGCCTCCGGGGGACGCTCTCGGCTCACTTCTCTGACAATCCTACTACTTGGTGTAGGATTGAGAAACGGAGGACCTGCGTGGAGGACAAAATATTTTGTTAATTCCTCTTTTCAATATGGAGAAAAACCCACAATGAGGGGCCAGGAACAAATGCATTGTTTCTCATTCACCTTTTTATTCTTGGATCCTATTAGCACAGTGCCAGGCAATGTAGTAAGTGCTTTATAAATATTGACTCATTTAATCTTCAACAACTCCATAAAGTAGGTACTATTATTATCCTCACTTTACAGATAGAAAAACTGAGGAGTACTGTAGACAGGTTAAAACTGAGGTTGCCCAAAGTCACACAGAGCTAGTTAATGGCCTTGTCCTTGGGCATGCAACGGGCGCATGAGGTGTTCTGGCTCCACTATATCACACTGCTTCTCACCCAATAAACCAGTGGATGTACAGCCTGGACCAGTGCCTTAAATAATTTCCACTCAGACTCAGAGTAGAAATACATAGTAGAAATGTATGGTACTCAGTAATTACACAAATACACACACATGCATAACTGAAACAAACTTTATGAAACAATACTTACCCTTATGACATAAAGTGCTCTGGTATATTACATTAAAAATATTTTTTTATTGATTTTTTTTACGGAGAAGAAGGGAGAGGGATAGAGTGTTAGAAACATCGATGAGAGTGAAACATCGATCAGCTGCCACCTGCAACATCCCTTACTGGTGTTGTACATGCCCTTGACCAGAATAGAACCTGGGACCCTTCAGTCCGAAGGCCGACGCTCTATCCACTGAGCCAAACCGGTTAGAGCTGGTATACTAAATTAAAAAAAAAATTTTTTTTTAAATAAATTAATTAAAAAAAAATAAATCACTTTAGCTCCACTAAAGTGATTTTGCTTCATTGATGAGTCTGGCCCCTGAATGAAACACACTTAAAAATCATATATATATTCACACACACACACACACACACACACACACACACACATTAATGTCAGAGAGGAAGGGAGAGAGAGAGAGAGAGATAGAATCATTAATGATGAGAGAGAATCACTGATAGGCTGCCTCCTGCATACCCCACACTGGAGATTGAGCCCACAACCTTGGTATATGCCCTGATTGGAATAAAAAAGTGACCTTCTGGTTCATAGGTCAACACTCAATCACTGAGGTTCTCTAGCTGGGCTGAAACACACTTTCTTATGTATATGCTCCATTTACCTCTTAAGAGCCTTCAGAAAATCTTCAGCTTTGAGCAGGAGTGGCTATCTATGGGCAGCCAAATACCTAGTTGTCTCCAAAATTCAAGAAACTAGAATGTCAATGGGACCTCCCAGCATTCAGACCCAAGATGATATAGAGGGAGCCCAACTGTTCATTTATTCAAGAATCATTCTGGAGTCTGAATACACCAGACTCTCTTTCCTCCAACAACCCACCATGGTTTCCCAACCTCTAACCCACTTAGTGCAGTCAAAATTCATTTTCTAACTTTTAAAAATAAATATTTTTATTGGCTTTAGAGAGGAAGGGAGAGGGAGAGAGACACAGAAACATCAATGATGAGAATCATTGACTGGCTGCTTCCTTCACACCCCCTACTGGGGACTGAGCCCAAAACCCAGGCATGTGCCTTTGACCAGAATAGAACCTAGGACCCTTTAGGCCACAGGCTGACACTCTATCCACTGAGCCAAACCAGCTTGGGCTTATTTTCTAACTTTTGATTTGGCTTCAAAATAATTATATTCATAGTCTCTATTTTGAATTTGTTTGTTTCAATGGAGAATGGAAAATTATAGACTCAAGATGGAAGTATCTCCAATTTAAAAAATATATATATATTTTATTGATTTTTTACAGAGAGGAAGAGAGAGGAATAGAGAGGTAGATACATCGATCAGCTGCCTCTTGCACACCCCCGACTGGGGATGTGCCCACAACCAACGTACGTGCCCTTGACCAGAATCGAACCTGGGACCCTTCAGTCTGCAGGCCAAGGCTCTATCCACTGAGCCAAACCAGTTTTGGCAGTGTCTCCAATTTTTACTTTAGTAGTGTCATGGACACAAGAAGGCAAACACTACCATATGGAATGGCAGTGAGGTATATAGGAAAAGAAAATTCAGTGTGAGCCCTAGCTGGTTTGGCTCAGTGGATAGAGCATTAGCCTGCGGACTGAAGGGTCCCAGGTTCGATTCCGGTCAAGTGCATGTACCTTGTTTTCGTGCACATACCCAGTAGGGGGTGTGCAGGAGGCAGCTAATTAATGTTTCTCTCTCATCTATGTTTCTAATTCTCTATCCCTCTCCCTTTCTCTCTGTAAAAAAATAAAAATAAAAATCAGTAAAATATATTTTAAAAATCCAGAGCGAAGGGAACAGAGAATAGTTAATATGTATTGAGGACAGAACCAACTTAATGTGCCTATCTTGTCTTTTCTTGGAATGTTTATAGACTTTTCATTGGCTGCATTCCCTGGCAAAAGGGATGGGCGCAAACTTTGGTCACACACCTCTGGTTCACATCCAGGTTCTGTCACTTATTGGCTGATGAGTCTTAGACAAGTTATTTATTCTCTTGGGCTTTTATTTCTTCACTGGTAATGGTGATCATTTGTTTGTAGGTTGTTTCTACGATTAAACAAGTACTTGGCACAGAGCTTGGCATTTATGAGTGTTCATGTTATTGCAACTTGTCCCTGGGCATATAATGTTTTGCATACAGTAGGTACTCAACAACAAAGGTTTGATAAATTTCTGCTTTGAATAGATAGGTATGTTGGGCTCTCTCCTAACCTGCAGGTATTTCTGGTAGGAAAATCTCTTCCACTTCCCTTTCTAGGTTGAAAGTTCTTATGTAGCAACAGCTTGAATATTCTTTTTTTTTTAGAAAATATATTTTATTGATATTTGACAGAGATGAAGGGAGAAAGATAGTTAGAAACGTTGATGAGAGAGAATCATCGATCAGCTGCCTCCTACACACCCCCCACTGGGGATGTGCCTGCAACCAAGGTACATGCCCTTGACCGGAATGGAACCTGGGACCTTTCAGTCCGCAGGCTGACTGCTCTAGCCACTGAGCCAAACCTGTTAGGGCCAGTTTGAGTATTTTTGTTTGGTTTCCTCTCAATCTTAGACTGACTTACTTTCAAATGTTTAGTAGTTAGTACAACAGGCTGCAAGGACCCTCCCTCCCCCAAGTAGAAAAACAAGGCAAAGGAAATCTGCAAAACAACCAGCGTGTTAAATTACTCGTGTTTATTTGTAACAGACCTTCAGCCAGTACAGTACAAAACTTACAGTAGTATATCTCCATTACACAAATACTTACTTACAATATATTACATGTACAAAATGCTTTGCAATAAGTCTCAAAAGCTAGTTTGACTCCCCTTGAGAAAGGAGAAAAACTCTGTAAAAAGGGGGCAGGGCGGGGGGAGAAGATGAAGGGATAAAATCCAAGGAGACACCAAGCATAGGCTACAAATGAAACCCTGGGGGGGAGAGGGAGAGAGAGAGTGAGAGAAGAGAAGAGAAGAGAAGAGAAGAGAAGAGAAGAGAAGAGAAGAGAAGAGAAGAGAGGTGGTATTGCACTTGCTTCTGTGTTTTTTTTTGTTCTTCATAACTTCTAATTAAAAATATATATAATATATATTATTTACACAAGGACAGAAGCTGCCAGAAGTATTACAAAATCCCACCTGCAGCTTGGACACTGACACGAAAAAAAAAAAAAAAAAAGATCTGGAAAAGTATCTGTTTAGAAATTCTTTTGTGTGTGGTTTTGAGTATCAATATAAAAGGAAAACACCTCTTTTCTCCGTGTGGGTTTCAATGTATTTTTTTTTCTTTTTTTCTTTTCTGCAAAAGGAGTTGGGAGAGAGAGCGCGAGAGTGTTTGAGTTTCCAGAGCTGAAAGGCTCTAGGAAGTAGGATTTGTACCTAAGTCCCTGGTTAAAGTGCAGTGATGGTCTGGAGAGAGACGGAGGGCCCTCCTTTCCCTCCTTAGCACCTGGTCTTGCCTTCCAGTCTCTGCTCTCATGGGCTCAGAGCACAGCCTCAGAGCACAGTCCTTCATGTTCCTGGTCGTAGGTGCCAAATCTGCCCGGGGGAGGAGATGGTGGCACCCTAAGGCTCTGCTACCCCAGAAGGGACTAGTCCTTATGAGGTGTTACCGAATAAAAGAGGTGGTAGGTCTAACAGGAAGGGGTTCAGCAATCAGAAGGATTGGGGCGAACCCCGGACATTCATCTCATCTCTGCTGCCATCCTGGAGGAGCCAGTTCCCATGTTGCTGATGAGAAAACTCTCCCCTTTCTCTAGAGACCACTCTCCTCCCAGGTAACTCCCCCATCCTCTGCCCTAGGCAGCATCTGTTTATTGCTACATTGTCCGGGAGGAAAAATCAACCCACAATGCCCCTCCCTGACAGGGAGAGACCATTATGGGAGAGACCACATAATGCGGGAGAAAAAGAAGGAAGAAGAGGAGAAATTGTTTTAGTATCTTCCTTCCCCCAAGAAGAGGGTAAGGTAGACTCTTCTCAGAGCCCCAGTCCCAGGTCTGTGCCTTAGCCAATCCTTTAGCAACCCTAAATCATCCCTGATAAGGGAGTGAGAAAAGTAAGAGGCAAAAGAGCCAATAAGGAAAGGACATGTGGGAAGAAAGAGGGAAGGGAAGAAAGAGGAGAGAGAAGGACCAAGTGTTACAACTTGTGAGGTGTTGTGTTTGGTTTTCTACTTTTTTTTTTCTCTTTAAATATAGAAAAGCAGCCTTTGGTTTGAATCTCAAGGAAGCAGAGAACGGGGTGGCTGTGGCTGTGCAGGGAGCTCTGGTCGGGAGACCTCCACCTGCAGTGGAGCCGTGTCTCCCGCTCCCTCTCGCTGACCAGGGTGCCCATAGCCGGGGTCTCTGCGGGAGCCAGGAGGAGAGTCCCCCCTGCCCCGCGTCTGGGAGCGGAGTGGAGAAGGGGGCAGCAGCAGGTGATCCCCTTTTAGCTGTGCCCGTCCCATGTCCCATTCTCGCTGGGACAAGAGTGCGCCACGGAAAGGGGCCCATGCCCACGCTCTCGTCCTGGGATAATTTTTGGTTACACTGAACGTTAGAAGAGAGAAAAGGGGCACCCTTTCCTCCCTAAGGTGAGTCCTGCTGAGGGGGGAGGAGAAGAAGGCAGTGTGACCGCGGGGCTGACACCCCCGGCATCAGGCAGCACCCCACTAGTTTCTCACAGGACGGGGACCGCAGGAGTCCCTGAGAGCCTAGGGAGGCCACGAGAGTGACAAAGTGGGAGAGGTGGGAGAGTAAGAAGAATTTTGAACGACCCCCTTCCCATGCCCCGGCTCCCCATGAGGCACCTGTGGCTCCCAACGTGTCAGAGACAGAGGAGGCAGGCCTGGCCTGTTGGCCCCTGAGAATATAAAATTGGGGCACTCAGCCGAAGCCGGTTTGGCTCAGCGGTAGAGCGTCGGTTTGCGGACTGAAAGGTCCCAGGTTCGATTCCGGCCAAGGGCATGTACATTGGTTGCGGGCACATCCCCGGAAGGGGGTGCGCAAGAGGCAGCTGGTTGATGTTTCTCTCTCATGGACGTTTCTAGCTCTCTATCTCTCTCCCTTCCTCTCTGTAAAAAATCAATAAAATATATTTTTAAAATTGGGGCACTCCAAGGAGAGAAAAGCTACCATTGAGCAGCCTGGCAGGTTGAAGCGAGTAGAGCAGTGTTGGGGGTTGTTCGAGAGGAGGGAAGAGATACGTCACATCCTAGAGGGAGGTCCTGAACGTGGGCTTTGGGAACTCGTGTGACCAGGGGGAGGTCCAGACCCTCCACCCACAGCGACTGGGGAGAATGTCTTCAGCCCCTCCTACTTCCAAACGAGGGGATTCTTCACGTGTTTACGAAAAGTGCAAGCTGCCTAATGTGAGAGGGCACAAGAGGTATGGAGTCCGGGGCTGGAGGTCCCAGAGAGGAGACATAATGCCGCAGAGCTAAGGGAGGGCCGGAGGGAGCTATCAGCAGCAAAACCGAAGCATCACATAACGCAAAAGCGAGGACTGAACGCAACAAGTTCATGTCTTTTAGTACCAAGAGGGGCTTCCCACCCCGGGGGGCTGTGGGAGAAAGCCAGAACACAGAGAGAAAAATTAGGCCCCAAACGGGGAAGGGGACTGTGAGCAAGAGGGTGGAGGAGTGGCAAGTGACTGATAGAAGTTAAAAAATGCAAAAGAAAAACCAGCTAATTATATCAATAAATAACTCTGAGTAGGCTGGGACGAGAGGTTAAGAGAAAAAAGGAGAAACATAAGCAAAAACCTGTCTCATCACAATGCTTGAATCACCGGGAAGAGAGGTGAGGGAGATTCAGGGCCAAGTGTGAAGTCAGGCAGCCGGTGGGGGGCGGGGCTACACAGCACAACTCCTTGGGATGAGGTGGGGGTCTGCTGTAGGCGGGCAGTGGAGTGGCGGACCGAGGGGAGGGCAGTGGCTGCTAGCCCACCTTGTGCTCCCCCCGGACGATGTGGGAGGAGAATTCGTACCGGTCCTGGCTGTGGTAGCCACAGATGTTGCACTCGAAAGGGTCTCTGAAGCCATGGCAGCCCATGTGGATGGTGAACATGACGTGGTCCAGGAAGAGGATGCGGCAGTGCTCGCACTTGAAGGCCTTCACGGGCTCCCCGCTCTCGCCCACCACCCGGAGCACTTCCTTCGAGGGGCCCGGGGTGCCCCGCAGCAGCCCCTCCTGCGGCTTGGGGTCCTCTTTGGCGTAGGCAGGACTGGGCCGGCCCACCACTATGGTGGGAGGCGGCTGGGGCGGGGGACCCTGAGGGAGGGGCACCCCCCCCCCAACCCGGTCTTCGTGGTTGCTCTCCGTGTCTGTGGAGTCTTGGCACCCGTTGCTGGGGGACGCCCCCGGGTCAGTGAGGGGGCCTCGGGCCCGGTAGAGGAGGGGACCACCGTCAGCCAGGTCCTCGGGTCCCTCACCTGCTTCTCGGGATCCTGGGAGCTCCAGCCGACCGGGGAGGGGCTGCATCTGGGTGTAGACAGAGCTGATGACGGGCGTGAGTTCGGAGATGCAATTGGTAGGTGGGAGGCGGAGGGGACGCAGGTGCTCTGCCCCCACAAAGGCCAGAGAACCCCCAAAGCCAGGCTCCAGGCCGTGATGTGCCACCAGCTCCACGTCCTTCTCGTAGCCACCCGAGTTCACATCGTAGGGGAGGTCCGACAGGCTGAAGCGCATCTGCTTCTCACCTGTGGAGAAGAGGCTCTCAGCCGAGCGGGGCGGGCAGGGCTCCCGGGCTCCCAGGAGGACGCCCGTGCTTTCTTACCCACGAGGAAGGCTGTCACATGACTTACCACTCCTCACTTACTTCCCTGGAGGATAGGTCCCTGTGGGGCCGCTCCCCAACCCTAGGCTGTAACCTTAGAGGTCTCAGTCCCAGGCCACTGATCTTTATTATTCTTGTATTCTCTCTCTCTCTCTCTCTCTCTCTCTCTCTCTCTCTATATATATATATATATATATATATATATATATATATCTAAGCAACTGTTATGACCAAATGATCAGAATGACCAGAACGACTGGTTGACCAGTCACTATGACACACACTGATCACCAGGGGGCAGACGCTCAACACAGGAGCAGCCCCCTGGTGGTCAGTGTGCTCCTACTGTTCCTTCTATGCCCAGCCAGGCTAACTGTCGCCTCCTCTTATGACTCTGCTGGGGCCTTTGGGTCTCGGGCTGAAACAGGGAACCAGGGCTGAGTGTGGTGAATATGGCCCCTTTCCCAGGGGGACGGAGGGCTGGCTCCCTCCTTGGGGCCAGTGGCCAACCTCCCCAGCCCTGTCTCTCCCCCCGGCCAGCAGGCTCCAACTGGGCTGGCCCTGATCACCAGCCAGGCTTAGGGACCCCACTTGTGCACCAACTCATGCACTGGGCCTCTAGTTCTCTATAATATAAAGCTCCAGGTCCTCAGGGAGCTGGGCCAGGTGAGGTCCCCAAACTCGCCTCCTCCCTCTGATTCTATGGGCCCGGGTCTCAGTCCCCACAGACTTAAGTCCTTGCTATTCTCAAAAACTGGGAGAGCCCTGACACCCTCTTCTAAAACCACCACATGAGGGAGGGATACCACCCCTCCTACCCTCTTGAGGTGATTTCTCTTCCTTTTCTTTCTGCTCCTATTTTTGGGATAGATTCTGAGGACCAGACCGCTTTCTTTCCTTCAACCAAATCTCCAGACCCAACTGGCCTAATGGCCACCAGAGCTCAGACACAGATGAGCTGTGGCTTAAAGCTGAAGTCTCCTCTGCCACTGGACTCTTACCTACAAACTTCTGGGGGGTGGAACGCTTGCGTTTGGTGAGGCTGTTGGCCAGGCGATCAATGAATGTGGGCCTCTCAGAGGATGAGTGCAGCATAGAGTCTGGCACCATCTCCAGCTCACGTATCTCATCACCTGGTGGGGGGAGGTGGGACAGGGAGTGGCGGCTGAGAAGGGGTAACACTGGCCCAGCAGCTTCTCCTGGAGAAAACCAGCGGGTCAGGAGCCACGAAAGGTCATCCCTGATGCTTGGGAAATTGGGTACCTCACTCTATGTAGAGCTAATTTTGGGACAAGTATATACATCTGACCCTCAATTTTATATTTCCTTGTAGTCTTTCTCGTTAGACTCTCATTAGACTAAGAACACAGATCAAATCCTCCCCTACCGCTGGGGCTTCCCGTGGCATCTACGGGGGGCTCTGCACTACCTGGGTGCTTGGCACCCCAAGTACTGAGGTAACTGTCCCTTCCCCACAGACCTCTCCCCTTGTGCAGGCAAGTGCTGGGACCACCCTTGTCCTGTACCCCCTCCCTCCGACTCTGCCCTTAGCTCCCCCGGAGTCCGCCCACAGCCCACCTGGCTGGCCGGCCAGCGCGTGGGCTTCAGTGCTGAGACTCTGCAGGTAGTTGTGGCACCGCTCCTTGTGCTCCTCCAGGGTGCTCTGCTGCTTGTAGCTCCGGCCGCAGTAGTTACACTTGTAGGGCTTACCCACCGTGGGAGAAGAGACTGGGCAGGAGAGAGGGAGCAATCGCATCCGCGTTACTTTGCCCAGCGCCCTGGCTCTACACGGCCATCCCTCCATCCGTGTCAGGAGCACAGGGCGCGGGGAGGGAGGGATGCTGCTCAGCTGCATTCTCCTGCTGTCCTCCCTCCCCTGCTCAGCTGCTGCTGCGGCATGGAGAGGTGACCGAACCTCAGAGAGAGGCACGAGGCGCAGCCGTTCTCCTCCTTTTAGAAGACAGAGGGGCCCCAGGTTACGTGGCACTGGGTTGCTGGTAGGACTCAAGATGGCCAAATGGCCCCAACCGGTTTGGCTCAGTGGATAGAACGTGGAACCTCAGACTGAAGGGTCCCAGGCTTGAATCCGGTTGCAGGCTCGATCCCCAATCCTGGTCAGGGTGGGGGTGGGAGGCAACCAATCGATGTGTCTCTCTCACATTGATGTTTCCCTCCCTCCCTCTCTCTCTGTCTCTGTCTCTCCCCCTCCCTTCCACTCTCTCTAAAAATAAATGAAAAAAATATCCTTGAGGATTAACAACAACAAAAAAGATGCCAAGTTGCTGCTCGGAGGAGAGAGGAGCCCAGGGACTTGGCGGGGGATCATCCTTGGCAGGCAGGCCAGCCCCGCCCCGGACCTGAGTGTGGTTTAACCTTTCCCTGCGGCAGGCGCTGGCAGCGCTGTTTACCAGACAAGGGGGTTTTTTGCTTACGAACTATCTGATTTGGTTCGGGGGAAACTGGTGGGCTGGGGCGACAGAAACGAGAGATCTCAGATCTGCTGACACGGGGAGGGGCAGTTTTCACTGACCTTTACCGGTCCTTTCCTGCCTCTGCTCCTAGCCCAGCTTTGCTGCTGGTTATTCTTTCTGTCTTTCTACACTGAGATACAGAGCGAGCCCCAGGAAAACCATCACCTGACGGAGAAATGCGAGAAGAGAAAAAGAATGAAAGAACAGAGAGGAAAACAATGGAGAAGAGTGTAAAAGGAAGAGAACAACTTTGGAAGTTTTTTGTTGTTTTTTTTAAGAACAGGATATAAAGATTTTGTTTTTAGTGAAGAGAAAAGATTGGGAAAACTGAGATCGATACTTCCTTGAAAGACAGCTTTTGAGAGATGATGTTTGGGAGAGAAGAGAAAACAGTGAGAGAAACAAGGTATTGTATATTTTAATTGATGTATCTTGCTACCACTGAGCAAGGGATGGATAGGAGATGAATCTCTGGGAACCCCTCCCCATCCCATGCCTAAGCTGGACCTGGACTCAGCCAATCTGCTACCATCTTGCTCTTGCTCAGTGTCCTGGGGATGAGATTAAAGTCACAGACCCCATTGACCTAAGACTCTTGGGGAAATGTTTTAACATCTGAGAGGAACCCTTTTTTCTTACAGTGAGGGCTGTAAGAGAAAGCATCTCATAAAGATGGCACCCAGTAGTATATCCGTGTCTTCTTCTGGCCCCAGTAATCTCCTACAGAACCTCCAAAGCCCACCCCGACCCCTGCCTTGCTGTTGGTAAGATGTTTAGGGGCCACGCTATCCTTTTTCCAAACCAGCAGGGTGGGGGGGCGCCCCTTTTCCCAGGAAAGGCGCAGGCCTGGCACTGGATCTTGATGGGGTTCCAGGGAGGATGCAGAGAGAAAAGCTCCATGACTGGCAAACCTTCTCTCCTTTTTCAGTTTCCTTGTCAGCAAGATGGAGATACTAACATCCACCTTGGGATTATTATGAGGATCACATGAGGAGACGAGTGGAATGTAGGAGGTGATAAAGCATGAATCAATGGTGCTCTTTCTCTGTGGTTTCTCCACATACACAGAGATGGAGGGGTCCCAGCGCCCAGGTGAGAGCAAGGTAAGGTGGCTGGACAAAGGGAGGGTGGTGAGGTGATTACTTTGTCCCTTTAAATCCTGGCCCCGGAGAGTTTAGGAAAAGAGAAAAACAGCAAAGAATGTTTCCAAGGACAGACCCTACTCACTCGTTCCCCTCTGCCCTCCTTCCTCCTTTTCCCAATCTTGAGCTCCCTCCTCCCTGCCAGCTCAGCTCCTGGCCTGTTCCCAAAGCTCAAAACTTAGGAAAATGCTTCAAAGGTGCTATCTGCCCAGCTGATGAGGCAGATGGTGATTCAGTCTGGGCCGGGCTAGGAAATCGAGTTAGTCCAGCTCCCTGGCACTGCTCCAAACACCCAGCGCCAGGCACCTGCTCTGCTCCTGGTGAGGTGCTGACCTCTTGGGACGGGGAACAGACAGGGGTAACCTTTCCTCCAGTTTGGGAGGCCCATGGGTATTGTCAGGAACCAGGAGGAAGTCCAGGAGAGGACAGAAGGGGGCAAAGATGGGGACACGTGTGGAGCCTGGGGCAGCTATGACGGGAGGAGGGGTCACCCTGGTGCTCAGAAGTGGGGGGTGACGGGGCACAGATGGTTCTGCATCACCGTGACCTTTAAAAATAGTCAGGCCTGGTCCGGCTGGTTTGGCTCGGTGGATAGAGCTTCGCCTGCGGACTGAAGGGTTCCGGGTTCAATTCCAGCCAAGGGCACATGCCTGGGTTGCGGGCTGGATCCCCAGTGTGGGGCGAGCAGGAGGCAGCCGCTCAGTGATTCCCTCGCTCCCTCTCCCTTCCTCGCTGAAATCAATACAAATATTAAAAAATGGAAATAGAAGAGGCAGGGAAGGGTGAGCGTAGGACACAAGAGCATTGCCTGTGCTCCTTTTGTCCCGCACGTTGCGGGGTGGCACATGGACCATACCTCCTGGGAGTGCCCACGTCTCCCAGGGCCTGCTGCCCAGCGCGGGCCCCAGAGGCAGGGCCCTGTCCCCTCTGCAGCCCCATGGCGACGGGACAAGGCGCGGGTGTGCGGGGAAGGCACTGACCGGAGTGCGTGCGGAGGTGGCCGGTGAGCGCGTCCCGCCGGCGGCAGGCGTAGTTGCAGAAGGGGCACTTGAAGGGCTTCTCGCCGGAGTGCAGCTTGATGTGGCGCAGCAGGTTCCCCTTCTGCGTGAAGGAGGCGCCGCACTGGTTGCAGTGGAAGGGCCGCTCCCCTGCGAGGGAGAGAGAGGGGGCCTGGCTGTGAGGAGCTCTGAGGCCCAGCCCAGCCCCCACCCCGGCCCCACCCCGGTCAGGGGACGCGCTGGGAGCACATTTCTGAGAGGCAGGCTGTGCCCCCACACACATCTTAATGCGGACCCTGGGCAGCCCGGTCCTGGGAAGGGTGCAGAGGGGCCGGGAATATTGGGGCCAAAGGCCCTTATCACCCACCACGCCCGCCCGCCCGGCTCTCTCTGCCCCAGGAGCCCAAAGCCCAAGGAGGCTAAGAAGAGGCTTCCAGTCCGTATTTTTTCTTCTTTTTCTTTATCCATCAATGGAAGAGGCCAGATTCTCCCCCCACTAGGTATAGGATCCTTCTCTCTCTCTCTTTTTAAAAAAGGAACAAAGTAATCACCCGAGGATATGTTTATTTTGTTGTTATCTTCATCTGAGGATATTTTTTTCCATTGATTTTTAGAGACAGTGGAAGGGAGTAAGGGGGGTGGGGGGAATGGAGAGAGAGAGGAGAGAGAGAGAGAGAGAAACATCAAAATGAGAGAGACACATAAATTGGTTGCCTCCCACATGTGTCCCAGTCGGGGCCAGGGATCGAACCTGCAAGCTAGGTACATGCCTTTGACCAGGAATCGAACCCATCACCCTTTGGTGCACAGGCTGATGTTCTCATGTTTTTTAAAAAAATATATGTGGTTTTTAAATATATATATATATTATTGATTTCAGAGAGGAAGGGAGAGGGAGAGAGAGAGAGAAACATCAATGATGAGAGAGAATCCTTGATGGGCTGCTCCTGCATGCTCCCTCCTGGGGATCGAGCCCACAACCCAGGCATGTGCCCTTGGCTGGAATCAGTCCACAGGCTGATGCTGTATTCCTGAAGCCAAACCAGATAGGGCAAGGATATTTTTTAAAAAAATCAATTTTAGAGAGAGGAAAGAAGAGAGAGAAAAAAACATCAAAATGAGAGTGAAACATCTACTGGTTGCCTCCTATATGTGCCCTGACTGGGGACTGAACCTACAAGCCAGGTATGTGCCCTGGCAGAATCGAACCCGCAGCCTTCCGGTATATGGGATGATGCTCCAACCTACTGAGCCACCTGGCCGGAGCTAGGATCCTTCTTGAAGCTACAAGACTTTCCCCTCCCTCCCTTCCTCAGGACAATATCAGCTTTTCTTTATAATCAGAAAGTGCCAGGGAAGTATTGGCAACCAGGGAGTCTGAAGTTCAGCCCTCCTTTCCCCCTCCACCAGCTAGGAAAGGTGCCGGAGAGACCTTCTCTGCCTGAGGCCTCCCCGCTCCGGCCTGGCCTCCCCACGGCCTCTGGCGCCGGCCCCGGGACCCTCACGGTCCCGCTCACTCACCGGTGTGGCTGCGCTTGTGCACCATGAGCACGTTGGGCCCGATGCAGACCATGCCGCACACGTCGCACTTGAGCTTGCCGTTGGGCAGCCGGATGCCGCCGGGGGAGTGGGGCTCGGGCCCGCTGCCGTCGCAGTAGCCCAGGGGCTCCGACAGCGAGTCCTCCACGATCACACTGTCCTCCTTCTCCAGGAGCCGCTCGTCCGGCCCCAGCAGCCTGCTGGACTCCTCATCGCTGTACATCTCCACCTTGATGGAGTTGGCTGGAGGGTGGGGCGGGGTTCAGGAGAGAGCCAGGCCCGGGGGAGAGGCGAGCGGCCTTCCAAGGAGGCCAATACCCGAGGTGTCCCGAGCGGGGACCCCGGGGTCCTGCTGGGACCTGAGGCCGCCTCGTCCTCCTGTCCCACCGATCAGGCACACAGGCTTGGAGGGAAAAGCACGGGGGCGAGGGGGACGCGAAGGGGAGCCTATTTCTCCACTCTCTTGTCACTAAGAAAGATGTCTGACTTGGCCCTGGGCAGGAAGCCAGCGAGTAACAGTGTCAGGAAAACAGTCCCAGAAGACCGAAGAGACGGGGCTAAGGAGAGAGTAAAAGTGGGAGACCAACCCGGCGTACATTACCCTCCCACCCCACAGGCTGAGCCCCTCTGCTCCCTCCGGAACATTCGGGGGGAGGGGGAGGAGCCATTGAGGAGAGCTTTGGCTCTAGCTCTGACCTACATTCCTGGCTATTCCAACCATTTGGAGAATGTCACAGATCCGGGGCCAGCTGAGGAGAGCAGTCCTAGGGACCCTCTGGGCAGGAGACTGGGGTTGGGGGGTGCGATGAGGAGATCCTTCTCATGTCTACTTCCTGTCTCACTCCAGCTCGTGGCCATTTCTATCTACCCGCTGTTCTAACTCCAGACTTCCTCTTTGGGGTCTTTACCCGAATCCCACCCGTGCCTCTGTGAATTCCACCCTTGCCTGCAGGGAGAGCTCCTTCTTCTTTCAGAAGTAAGGGGAATCCCGGCACTGAGCTCCTCAGTGATTCCAGAGACTCCGAGCAGGAAGCCAGAAAGAGGGAGGCAGCGATGGGGAAATGGCTGCCAACGGATGAATCGAGGGCCAAACACAAACAGGGGTGCCTCGTGCCAGGCGAGGGGGGCGGGCACACTTACCACTGAGCGAGCGGCTGGGAGAAGAGTGCTGGCTGTTGGGGGTGCTCACCGAGGGCCCCCCTGGGGCCCCAAGGAACTCCTTCTCCAGAGACGAGTCCCCGCTACCTTAGAGGAGAGAGCGAGAGGGCAGGTGAAGCTGTGGCTGCAGCCGTGAGCGAATCGCCTCATCTTTTAAAAACTCGGACACATTGATCGCGTAGCCACGGACAAGGCGGTTTTGTGTTCTGGGCACCATACCTCGTGCCCTGGACAGCCTGGGTGCCTGGCGCTGACTCCTGCGAGCTCAGAGGCTGGGTCGGGCCCACCCTACCTTTATCTAGGCCTGGGGAAGGCATCACTGCCTGACGTCCGCAGGAAGCAGGGCTGGGGCTGGGCGGGCCGGGGAGAGAGGAAAATGGGGGCCTGGGCGGGGAGGCGGTTCAGGACGGACGGTTCTTCCCTATTGTTCCTCTCCGGAGCCCCCCGACACCGGGTACGGGATCTGCAGGAAGAGCAGCTGGAATTGTCCCTGAATCTAATGATAATGATAGCAATCAACGATGGCAGCTCACATCAACTGAGTGCTTACTTCGTGCCAGGCAATGTTCTGTACACCTTCATTGAATGATTTCGTTCACAACAACCCAGAGAGGTAGGTACCGATTTATCCTAATGTTGCAGGTGAGGGAACAGGCACAAAGAAGGCTACATTAGTTATCCAGGGTTATAGAGCCAGTGGTGGTAGAACTGCAGCTGAGCACAAAAAAAGACGTGCCCATGTCCTTAAACACCACCTGCACAGCAACTGGGACTCGCTGTTTCAGGAGGGGAGAGCTGGCCCCATTAGATTTTTCTAAAATTAGCGAAATTTGACTACTCTAGAAAGTGTCCTATCTGATATCACTCCAATCAGATATTTACTACTTGGCATTCCCTTGACAGTGAAATGATCAGTTTATTTTTAATATATTCATTTTAACTTGTTGACAAATTGCATTGTAAAAATGCTTTTTGAGCCCTAACAGGTTTGGCTCAGTGGACAGAGCATCAGCCTGAGGACTCAAGGGTCCCAAGTTCGATCCCGGACAAGGGCATGTACCTTGTTTGTGGGCACATACCCAGTGGGGAGTGTGCAGGAAGCAGCTGATCAATGTTTCTTTCTCCTAGATGTTTCTAACTCTCTATCTCTCTCCCTTTCCCTCTGTAAAAAAAAATAAAATAAAAAATAATATATATATATATATTTTTTTTTTTAAATGCTTTTTGAGAAGTTCATATATCTTTTTTAAAAAATCAGATAACACACCTAAAGATATTTCATTTCTTAAAAAAAAACCTCCTCCCCACAATTATTTACACAAGTACATAGGTGAAATAAAGCAAATGTAGACAAACAGACACAGACAAGATCACATATGTAGATATACATACAGAGAACATACCTACTGGGATAAACATACTCATAGCCTCTACAGTATCTGCTAACATGACATGCATGGATGTGTGCAGACAGCCCTCAATATGGAGAAAATAGAGA